GGTATGAATCACAAATTATCACATTGAAAATAAGATAACCATTAAACTACTTTAATACTGAACAAAACTGACAGAAGACACGAATACAGTAATCGCACTGCCTACTACAGGTCTGACACATAAGCTGCTCACAATAGGGACATGTCGTTAATGCAGTGGTCTTGTGACCTGCGAGACACAGCCGACAGGTAGGTTCAGCCTGGGCTGGTGATTCACAAGTCAATGCTGAAAAAAAAAAAAAAGAAAATACTAAATTTAATCTTTTGTTTCTTTCTTTTGTTGACCTATGCACAAACTTTAAATCTAACCAATCAGAATATGTTATTCAATAGGCAGCACAGTGTACTTTAGAGGGGAATGCAAATCCATGGTAGCCAACCTACTGCGCGCAGAGGACACCTACAGGAAAGTGAAAGGCCTAGTACAGTGAAGGATGGTGGATGGCTAGAAGGAAGGTACATTACTCCTACAGTTATGGTGGTGGTGACAGTGTGTCTATTGTGCCATGAAAGCACTTGGGTTCCCTGGTTCAATTCCTGCTTTCCTTGTGTTCCACTTGGAGATGAAATACAAGCTTTAGGAAGAAAGGTATAAGCCTTTGGTCTGCATGATATTATGGAGTTTTTTTGTGGATGTTACTCAATGCTTTAGTACCCTCAATAGCATGTCTACAGGGTTGCATGCTTATCTAAAATATAAGCTCACAACCCCTTCCACAATGTGCCACCCACGCTGGAAATTTTCTGAAAGTCAGGAAGTGTGGGGTATTGCCTCCCTGTGTAACTAACCAATCTCTGCTGTATTTTACTTGCTGAACAGGCTAATGAAAAATAAAGATATACTGTAGGGCCTAGATAGAAAAAGCCAAATTAATAATTATTCATCAATTATAAACACTGATCTGTATTTATAATATCAACTTACACTGTGCTCCAAGATTGTTATTGTTAATAAGTTGACCACTCATGTTAAGTTGAAGTTGGCCAGGCATAACTTGTTGACCAGCATCATCGTGGGGATGGCCATCATCAGCGCAGCTATGTCCATTGCTTGCTAACAGACCAGTGTAGTATGCTTTTTGACCTTGTAGCATCAAATTTAATGTGTGATCTGGGAAAAAAACCAAAGCAACAATAACATTTACTTTAGCAAATACTCTTTTTGTGGAGTCTGGCAACTGACATTTTCAAATGTGCAGCGAAAAGTCTTGGCAAACTACGCAAATGCAATGAAATATTGTGAAAATTGAAATAATGTGAAAATGAAATACTGTGAAATAGAAGTTGAACATATAAAATTGTTTAAATTATGAAAGATTGTACATGTTTTCTTTATTGGTTTTCTTTGCTGTATTACAATATTTCATGGTTTTGTTCATGTAAAGTGCATATAGGCCTAGAGGCAACTTTCTTTCATTTCATGCATTTAAGTAATTATTATTTCCTCTCCTAAAAGAGTTAAAAAATGGGGAAAAAAATAACATTCAAATAGGCAGAAAATAAAACAAGGCAAGACAAGGACAACAATCAAGAAAAAAATGAAAAACATCAAAAGTACAAAAAAGATTCAAAAACAAAAAAAAAACATGGGAAAAAACATTTTAAACAACAAAAAAAGTCTCAAGCCAAGAAGAGTTGAAAACTTAAGAAAACATCAACAAAATTTACAAATAAAAAGGATTGCACAAAAAGAATTGAAAAATAATATTAATAAATAGGCTAGGCCCTAGGCCTATCTAGGCCTATACACATCTAAATAATAGGCCTAGGCCTAGACCTAGAGCCTATCGGTAAACCATTTATTGATTAAGGTAGTAGGATAGCTTCAATCAGCAACAGGACGGGGTGCGCAGATCGATTAGATAGGACGATAGGCCTAAACTGTAGTACTAGCTACTACTTAGGCCTAGGCTAGGGCCTACTACTACTAGGCCTAGGCCTAGCCTTTCTAGGCCTAGGCCTAGCTAGCCTAAATAAGAAAAATGCTTACCGTAAACTGCCTTCATATTCTTATCCTTGTTCACTCCCATGTTTACTTCTTTTTGTCCAACATGCGTTTTTAATTGTAGCGGGCAATAACCGATTGCATCGTCAGTCCTAGGACGTTTAGGCATAGTATTACTATTAGTGATGTAGTGTTTTCGAAGGGGGTTTCTCAAGGATGAATGGTGCTGTCGTGGTCGTGACGCATGTGGGCATGCAGGGACCTGTGCCTAGAGAGGCTTGCCCTTGTTTGTGGCGCGAAAATTATTATTCTGCGTTCCTAATTACTTCGCGTTCAAAACTCGTTAATGTAAAGACATAACTGAAGAAACGCGTTCAACCAGAGTTCCGTATAAATTGCCATGAGGATTTATAAAAGTTTAACTATTAAACAAATTTAGTGTACCACTGTACGATTAATTTCGACTTTTTGTTTCATAAATTCTTGAGCTCGGACTTTGGAAGGCTTGCATACATAATGGAAAACTGATGAAGATGAATTAGTTTATTATTATTAATTAGTTACCCTATCATAAATTCAACCAATATTTTTGGCTATACCACACTATATAAATCGTTAATTTTTTCATAAAATGAGATTATTGGACCCACTTTCATTTTGTTGTTTGATACATATACATTTTAATCAATGACCTATTTAGGTATTTAGGCCAGGTTCTTACAAGGGGGGTTTTCTGGGCGTGAGGTCCAAGGTCGAAGCTCCGGTGGGGTCGGCGAAACCCCCAAAGCAAGAGGATTTTTGTGCTTTATGGGTCTAAATAATGCTATAAAAGCAAATATGTTTGAAAACGTCTGTGTCTGGGTGGGTCTGCAGTGCATTAGTTGGATTGGATGACTTATTTGGGAAATTTGAAGAGGGGGGTTCGCCAAAAAAAGAGGGGGTTTGCTAGAAAAGGGGGGTTCTCCCGAATTATAACCCCCCCCCCCCCACTGGATACGGGTCTGCTCATCCTATCCTGATATTGGACCCGCCTCTGATTTTTTAATTGTATATTTTCCACTAACAAATCTTTGAAATGCTTATTGACATCGTAAGGTACGGTACTTGGCATTATAACTGTAAATTATCAAACTTTGTATTGAAACAAATTCTAAAACTTTTAAAGTGGATCTTAAGCAGTAATATGATCAAAACATTAAAGTCAGCCAGGAATAGATTACAGTGCTGATGATGGTATGTACTTGCGTACGTATTAAAGAGCCCGCGAACAATAAGTCATTCGACTATACATGGGCATACAGCTAGCAATAAATAAATCTTAGAACCTTCAGTAGTCAATTTTACACAATGTCTAATCCGATTATCTGGTCTCACTTTCGTAAATCTACCATCTTCATTTTTATTTAATTTTATTTATGAAAAAAGTGACCTCTAGAAGACCACATTTGGGACCGGGATTTTTTTGTTTAGCCGTCTTGATTCGTCCAGGGAGA